CCTATTGTCCAAAATTATTTGTGTGTGTAATATTTGGTCGTGATATTTTAAACACGGGTTTTCATTTTCAGAAGTAAAGTGTCGCGGAACAGTAAATGTAATACAACCAAACCAATACAGTGTGGTCAGCATCTTTTATTGTTTTCCTCTAAATGACAGCATTTCACAAAAACATAATTTTACAGGGAGTTTATTACCTTTACTTTCTTTAATATCTTTAAACCAAGTACGCGTTTCCAAACATGATTTTGTCAGTTTCTTGTTGGATAGCTGCAACTGATCTACTCTGCCTTTAAAGACACACGTCCAAAAGAGCCAATGTTAGGTGTTTTCGTGATTCGTGTGTTTTTATTGTTGCAAATACAACTTTTTGTACATGGAGATAAAATCCAATGTAACCTAGTCTAACGGACAGTAATAAAGTCGTCAGGTACGGGTTTACTGTTAAGCTCTTCATCACACAGTTCAATCGTTTAGATTGCCAGATTTGTCCAAGCATTTGGAACCAGCATACGGTCCGTATTATGATCCCCACATTTTCACGAAGTATTGAGTACAACGATTTACTACATTACCTCCCCGGCCCCAGTGAAGACTGCACATACCCTTCTTCTTCAGATATCGATATTCTGAAAATGGATGGCTACAAAATGAGCTTCTCAACTGTTGGTGGCAGCAGAGATAGACCCTAGACTAGACTAGTCGTAAAGCGACCTCATGGGGCAATTGTATGTTAACTTGGATCTGATATTGGACGCCATGATGAGTGGCAAAACTAGAACGATATGTTCTTCCGACCACAAACGTTTGATTTCTAAAGGTCAGCAAGGTACTCATCAACCTCACTATTCGACTGGGGTGAGACGGGTGGCATTTCTACCAAATCAAAATAATGCATCAAAAATTAAATGAGTATACAGACTAATTTAAATGTTGTGAATGACTTCATAATGTGAATGACTACATTCAAGTGTATATCGCCACCTACGCCCCCAAAACATCCTCCGTGGAAGTTCCCATACCTGGAAAATGTAATGATGGTGCGACGAGCGAACGACTTAATGTTAGACTGTACATTTCCTAGATAGATAGACCAATGCAAGTAGCATTTTAAAGACCTACAATTTGATATCCACAATTCGTCTATTAAAGTGAACTGTACTGCACAAAATGCACCGACAAAATCAACACATTCCGCATTAAGGAATGAATATGAAAGTAATGTCTGAAGACGTTAAGAAAAAACAATGACAATTTTCGAATATTCGGTTTTCAAAATTAATCACTTGATATACTTACATTTATACTCTCTTTTCTGATTCGGTCTAGTGATGTGCGTACTTCAACGTATACTCATTAAGATTTGTTCCCCCGACTCTAAATACGGCGGTATTTGCCGGTGGACATTCGGGTTGAAGGCGAGGTCCTCAAACTGAGAACCTTTTATTTCTTCTTGTGGCAGCATCGGCACAGAATGCGAAGAAACGCTTCCTTGAACACAGGGTTGCAAATGGCGTAAAGGAAAGGATTGGTGGCGCTACTCAGGTGAATCACATAGCCAACAAACTGCAAAGGAACAGTGAACAATAAGTACAACGCGTCCCAAAATACCCGCAACAATGTTTTTGCAAAGCTCTAGCGTGGCGGCGGAAACACATAGGCCTACCGGCATTATTTTTTTTATATCATTTACAGCTTGGAATCTTAACTTTATCCCTTGTATGTTCGGTTTGATTGTAAAAATTGTTTTATTTTGGGACGCGCTGTATACTCATCCGCACAGTAAACAGAGAGGCTGTTGGCATGGCTTCGCAAACTCTCTGACGACTTTGAAATTAGGCCTACATGTAAAATTAAATTTCAATTTCAAAACGAAAACATATCGGACGTGTGGTTTCGAATTTCGTAACTAGGTTGTCATTGAAGCCTTTTGACAGTGTGCTGAGGGAATTTTGTGAATTTCATAGTCTTTCATAAAATTATGGCGTCAGATAGTGAGCTGAAACAATTCCCCATAATGTCCGTATTACAAAAAACTTATTGCAATCTTTGCAAAAATCAATGGGCCTATTATAGCTTCATTTGGTTTGTTGTTATTTTTCCTGAGCTATGTCACTGACTGACTGAGTGACTAACTGACCCACTCCCCGACTGACCCACGGACTAACTAACAGACTGCCCACTGACTGACTGACCCACGGACTCCCCGACAGACCGACCCACTGACTGACTGACCCACGGACTCCCCGACAGACTGACCCACTGACTCCCTCCCCCACGGACTCACCGACAGACCGACCCACTGACTGACTGACCCACGGACTCCCCGACAGACCGACCCACTGACTGACTGACCTACGGACTCCCCGACAGACTGACCCACTGACTGACTGCCCCACGGACTCACCGACAGACCAACCCACTGACTGACTGACCCACGGACTCCCCGACAGACTGTCCAACTGACTGACTCCCCCACGGACTCACTGACAGACCAACCCACTGACAGACTGACCCACGGACTCACCGACAGACTCACTGACAGACTGACCCACGGACTCCCCGACAGACTGACCCACTGACTGACTGACAGACTGACCCACTGACTCCCCGACCCACGGACTCCCCAACAATCTGACCCACTGACTGACTGACCCACGGACTCCCCGACAGACCGACCCACTGACTGACTGTTACTTGTGATTTAGACTGGTTGTATGCTGGTTAAGAGAGGCAGTGCTATCGTATGGGATACCTGAATGTACTAACTCTGGTTCATTGTGTAAACCAGATGCATTACAGGATTTCCAGTGAATAGCAGTGCTGAATCAATATAGAATTGTATGCGCTATACGCGCCCAGTTTTAGTCTCGCCTAGCGTAAGTGTAGTACAGGGTGAGTAAAAAAAACCGAAACCATAATGTCGGGACTATTGTTTTAGTGAAGTTCTGCATGTAGCACTTTTTAAATCTGAGATATGAAAACCCAATTCACAAGCTTTCCTTTTAGTACACGAATCATTCAAATCACCCATCACAACCACCGTTTTAAAATTCTGTCCACGGATCACAAAAAAAGGTGTGCGTTCTTTCAGCAAAACGAAAACAATTCACACACACATCCCTTTGTGATATGTTTTCGTTTTGCTGATCTAAAAGAACACTCACTTTTTGTGATCCGTGGACAGAACTTGACAATTACATGAGTGATTTGAATGATTCTTGCACTCAGTGAAAGTTATTCAATGAAAGTTATTAAACTCGGGCTTTCATATCATAGATTTTGAAAGTGCTACATGCAGAATCTCACTAAAACAATGGTCCCGACATTTGGTGTGTTTTTTTTTACTCACCCTGTAGTAGTAAATATCTCATTTATGTATACTGAATCAATATGACATCTTTTTTGCAATTGGAGCTTAATACTTCACTCTAATAAAACGTAGAAAGACAAAAACCTACCCAAATTACTGTAGGATATCGCGGGATACTTGTGAACGTCACAACGAGGGAGTAGAAGAACCAGGGTGTGCCCGAGATGACCATGACTACGATGATGTAGGCCAGGGTACGGGTGGCGCGCCGGCTGCTCGTCAGGCGCTTCTGGTGATGATGCGAGCAGTGGGAGGTTCCGCGGGACAGCCGATATTTGGTGGCGGTCGCCTGCCGTCCATCACTCGTTGCGATCTCCTCGTTGCCTTGGTCGGTGCGCCCCTCCGTCTCCGCTCCGTTCTCTGTAGGCCCTGTTAATAACAATAATTATTATGATTAATTTACTCTCTATTTCCAAATAGTGAACATTAGATTAAAAAAATTACTCCCTCCTACTTAAACTTAGTCTGAGTATCACCCGTTATCCACGGATCCCAGTCTCCTGTAAACGTCTGATATATCTAAGCATGCAGATTTATGCGATCCTACGCCTCTGCCAATCGGAGTCGATTTAAGTAAATCGTGACGTCATTTCATTCCCAAATCAGGACTAAATGGTTGATTGGTCAAATCGAATGCAGTGTTTTGTAATATAGATCGATAAAACCTAGACAATATTACGCGTAAAACGGGTGAATGACCGTAGACCCGATATAGAAAGCGCCCACGGATTGGTCAAAATCTAGAGATCAAGAAGCGGTTGTCTTGTATAATTAATTAGCGAATCTGCTCACATATCATAGACCATGGCTCTTCGCCATGGTATTACATAGACTAACCTAAACTAGGGACTAGACGACTTCGAGTGAAACTAATCCAATCGAGTAGATCGAGTTTTCAATCGAGTTCAGCACTGGCATGATATTTTTTTATGCAATTCAATCTAAAAATTAGAGTGGTTTTCATTCTAAATCGTTTGGCCCCAAGTTTTGCTCTTAGGATTATGAGTAGCCATGTGAAAACATACAAACAGAATAACCATACTGTACATTACAATACGACGTAAACTTAACACAGAATAGAAAATAGGCAATGATCGTATGACCACATGGGCAAGACCAAACAAAAAGGAGGTGGATGGATATATCGACAAAATAGTAGTACGTTACATACACTCTAATAACTGCACGTGTTTAGCAATTAAACACAATCTTGCCATCAATTTATAAATATGTTTAGAAGCTAAATATAACGTGTCTAATGCCTTAACATCAGTGTTCAATCGCTAAATACTATCCAGTCATACTAAAATCATGTTGAGTATTTAAACATGTTTACAAAAAGGGTGAAAACGCATCTGAAGAAGATCTTGTTAAGATCCAAACATCAGGTCGCTTAATTTTTTTTGATTTGTACATTTCAGGTCAATCAAGTCAGAAAGCTGCTTGCAGCAGTTTTATTCATTTTCATGTTTACAAAGTGATAGCAAGAAAGTGTAAAGCAAAGAAGAAAAGTGTTTAATTAATTGCCAGACACAGTTTTTGCAGTGCACCACTGCATAAAAAGGGGGAGAGTACAAATCAAAATTTAAAATTTAAAGGATGAAAAATGTACACAAAGGGTTCAGAGTCACCAACATAAAAACCACACACACTCTATAATAATCGTAGCACATGTACATGTATCTTCATCGGTGTTTTCACCCTTTTCTCTGGCTTTGCAGTCGCCGTCGCCGTCCACCAATTCCCGCTCTTTGGGCAGGTCAGGCACGGAGCCCGGGTCACTTTCAACCACACTGGCGGAATTTCTCTCTTTCAGGGACGTGGATCTCCTGGCGGGGCGCTTACGGATGATCCCGAAATAGATGCACGCGTAGAGGATCGACGTACCAATGATCGGAACCCAGGAGATAAAGAGGGAGGATATTAGGAGAACAATTTTGTTGCTCGCGTACGGGATGTGACAAGCGTAGGGCGGCAGTGGGGTAAAGACGCCACATTCGGGGAGGATCAGTATCACGACTGCCCAGAGCAAGGACGGTACCAGGAACCCCGGAAGGATCATCTTCAAGGCATGATTCCTGGTCTTCTCCTTGAGATGCTTCAGCGGCCTGCTCATGGCTCTGTACCTGTCCACACAGATGATGAAAGTTAGGAGGAAAGTAGCGTGGACGAAGACGGTGTTGAGATAAATAAAAACCCGGCAGATTACAGGGCCGAACGGCCAGTAGCCGATCATGAACGTGACGTTCAGCAGCGCTGGGGTGACCCCACCGCTGACTAAGTCAGCCACTGCTAGCCCCACCAGGTAATAATTGGTGTAGGTCTGGAGTTTTCTGGTGGTGGCAAACGAGACCAACACCAGCGTGTTGCCGATGATGGTGATCACGAGCACCAGCCCGATGAAGAAAGCTTTCAGGAGAAATAGGTACAGGGGAGAAGGAGGAAAGATGGGGAGTTGTATGGTGTTCCCAGTCTCGACAGAGCTATCAGTTGTAATGGAGATGGTGGAATCTTCACTTGATATCGGTGCATCACTCGATACCATTCTATTCTCGTCCGTCAAAACAGGTGAAATAACTGTTACAATTTCTGTGATGACAGCGTACATTGTGTCCAAACCAGGCCCGTCCAAGATTTCTGTTGTTGCGGCTGCTGTTGTTACTTTCTCCATGGTTTTAAACGCTCACCAAAACTGCGACAAGGGCAGTTCCAGGCTTCGAAATTGAGTCAAGTGACTGAAACGGTGGACAGTCCTGCGCTATTATACTTGCGTTACCAGGGCTTAAAATACCAAGGTACATTTGCACGTATACGATCTAGCTAGGTGTTAGAACTATCAATGGTGCCATCTCTTTAAGTTCGTTCCTTGCATCTGAGGTTCTGTCTGCGAGATGTGACAGTTTAAACAACAAGGCTCCCGAGCTGCGAAAAGTGATGAAAATTCACGTCACCGCGACTCGAACCCTCCATTATTTCTCATTTCATTTGATAACCCGTTATCTTTCTAAACAACCTATAGGCTTCACACACACATTCATACACCACGGGCTAGTTTACAACTACGCATGTCCAAAAGGGAAAATGAATAAACATGAGGCATCTGACTGGTTCGTTTTCACGATATACACACGCGCAAAAGTTTGGCCCTTTCATGAATATTTTAATATTAATATAACGCAGGGTATTTTACCGTATGGTACAACATTCTTATTGAATTTCAGCACTAAAAAATGATGGGTCATAGAATAAAAATTAATCTGTTTTAATTGCTCGTGCCAAAAAAGACTTTAAAATCCGAAATGGGACTTTTGTAAAGGTAGGCCTATGCTAACTTGGAGTAAAAAAAATGCTCTTCCTATCTTCTTAAAAAAAAAAAATATGTACCTGGGTACTTAACGCGGTCCTGCATGTTTTAATCAAAGATAATCAATGTGCTATTTTTTTTCTTCTGTTGTTACGTGCGGACTTAACCATAACAAACTGAGAATTTGAGTATTCTGCGACGTTTAATTCGAAACTATAGTCTGTCTCTGTCTGTCATCTTCTTTCTGTAATAAACATGGCACTTTGACAATCTCATTTGCAGATTCGGGTTGCTCTCATCTTTAAAGTCATATCGTATGGCCATTTCATTTTTTTTAATCTATAGCCAGACGTATAATTGCTTTTTACACCTACACGGATATATACACGCTAATATTACAGCAATTTTTAAATGCAAGTTTCCAGTCGTTTTTCTCTCTCTTAATTCCAAAGAGTGAAATTAGGGACTAGACGTTTTGGAGTGAAAATCACTCTCATTTTCGATTGAAATAGTCTTAAAAATGAACCACTTCAGTCGAAGCTCGAGTGAAAACACGATCTTTACGATTGAAGAAGTTTCACTCTAAAACGTCTAGTCCCTAGTTTCCGACTGTGGGAGTGAATCTTCACTCGAATGGAGTGAATTTTCACTCTTTGGACTTTAGAGAGTTGGTTTGTTTTATTGCACCCTGCGGTATTTTCGTAGGCCCTCGATTTTTCGTAGGGCCCTGAATATTTCGTGGGCTCTATCCTATTGGATAATCCGGGCCTGTAATTTTGCCCGAAATTTAACCAGGCTGCAAATATCGTAGAACTGTTAAAAGGTACGGTGACGGACTAGGTTTAACAACTTGTCATAGAAATACGAGCTACCGATATAGGGCCTATCAGAGAGTTTCTCCTAAATATTTTATAACGGTTGGAGCAAAACATAGTCTAAGTGGGTGTAATCGCCAGGCACCATGTTAAAGCAAAGAGCTAAGTGAGGAGCAAGACGGCACCCTAAGCCATGATCCCCCGAGTGGACCACATGCCCTGAACATGTACGAAGGCGCCAACCTGGAACTCACGGACAGTACCAGCAGCAGTGCTTACCGATTAAGCTAAGGTACTGTTGGTAGTTTAGACAGTAAATTAAATCTTTTATAAAAAGTGTCGGACAGCGCGTGTTGAAAGCCAAAATGACAACATCCGGGAATCGAACTGATCCTCCACCCGTGGGTCAGCAATTTAACCACAATAGGCTATTTCACTAGTTACAGTTACGTTCGAGTTTAATACCTAAGAACCATATTCATTATGTTGTTAAGACCCGGTCGTTGAATTGGTTTCAATTGTTGACGGGTTATTTTGTACTTGCCGTTGTGAAGCAACAGTGCAGCGCGCCAAGTGCGCTCTGTTGTGTAACGTATATTGTGTGGTGTGTTTTTAAACGACCTGCACTCCCTCTGCCTCTTCTTCGTCCTTGATCTCGTTTGAATTAAGCATTAAACCCCTCCCGCCAATGCGGGCATCAGTAACTATGTTCCAATCTCAGCTTAATAAGCTTAAGGTTGAACAGGCCCGGGTGAAGTGCTTCGTAGGCCCTACGGTAGGCCCTATACTGCGCCCTGGGCAACGGCACCAAATTCATGTTGATGCTAGCTATTCAAGTATAAAGCACTGCAAATATATGTACAAATGTATAGCCAGGATATTGGTATAGATAATAGCTCCAAAAACCTGTTGGCACGAAGGGCGTCAACGTTTGTAAACACCTCAATGCTTGTACACACGTTTACATGCTAAACATTGTTAGCATGAGATTATAGCAAGTAAGTGTTTAGAATTGTTTACTCGCTAAACACATGTTTGTAGGTCAGGCAGTCATCCATTAGGCTACTTTTGTCCCATTGCCTAAAATTAGAAATTTGCTCCAATGGTCAAGTTGACCTCTCTTGGAAAATTACTCATAACTCTGTCAACAATTATCAGATTTGGACGTTTAATGTCTCATTTTAAAGTGGAAAGGCACCTATGTTATGTTGGACACACATTCTACGTCTGGCATTCCGTTATATTTTGTTTGCATTTTTTTGATACACACTGTACATGTATAGTCTGAGTATCACCCGTTATCCACGGAGCCAAATCTCCTGTATAACGTCTGATATGTCAAAGCATATACGATTCGCACCTCAGCCAATCGGAGTCGACTTTAATAAATCGTGACGTCATTTCATTCCCAAATCAGGACTAAACGTGCGATTGGTCAATTCGAATGCCGGTCGCGTATCGCGTAGCATAATACAGAGCGCGTGACCCCAGCCTGTGCTGTGTCTATGGTATTTTTATGTATCAATGTCTATGACGCGACAACGGTGAATGACCGAAGACCCGATATAGAAAGCGCCCGCTGATTGGTCAAAATCTAGAGGTCAAGGTGCGGTTGTCTTGCATAATTAATCAGCGAATCTGTTCGAATGTTATAGACCATGGCTTTCGCCATGGCCTATTACATAGACTAATTTTTTGGGGGGAGCTTTTTGTTCCATGCTTTTAAGTGGTTAATTTTGCCACTGCCAAACTTGCCCTAAATTTGTTAGTTTTGTATTTTTATGTTTTTATGAATGTGTGTTGTTTTTATTAACTATTGCTCTGTTCACAGATTTCATAATATTTATTCCGTGTTCCCTTTTAGGATTGGATTGATAGACTTTCGAGTCATAGTGTTTAAGTTCACTGTTATTAATCCTGGCCATCTTAATTTGGGTTTTGTTCTGTTCTTGTTTTGTCTTATTCTGTAACAACCTTGCCTTTTATCATTGCTGCCTTTATTCATAGCTCCTTGCTTTTGTTTACACTTATTTGTATCGTTTCATGACTTCTTATACTTGTAATCTTGTCTCCTCTGGAGTTACATTGTCATATTCTCTGTATATGTTTGTTGCAAATCTTGGCCGAATAAATAATAATAATAATACCAATACATACATGCTGTACATACAACGTTAGTTAGTGAAATCGAACATTCTGAGAGAGACCCTAAAACGTTTCAGACACTTTCCTCTGCGCGTGGAAAGAGGAAGAGAAACAATAGAAAATCCTCGATTTACACCATAACTTAATGTGTGTAGATGTGTTTTATGGCACAATGAACAAAGAGATGTCTCCACAAGGATATTAATTCCAGTACGGTATTTTCGTAGGCCTCCAAATTGTTCGTAGGCCCCCGAATTGTTCGTAGGCCCTATAATAGGCACAGTTCGTACTGTGCCTATTGGATAATCCGTGCGCGGCCAGAGTATCGTTATGAGGCATTTTCAATTTGAAAACAGTTTAGTATAAGGACAAATTATATCGTCATAAATCGAAAACTCAAACATAGAAAAGGATACGAGATTAAAATTGGAGGCCAGACGGATAAGCTTTTCTGATTAAATTCGGGCGTCTTCACCTGCGGCCCAACATATCGCTTCATTCGGTAACAATGCAATTATTGTGCGAGCAAGTTTCGAAAGTAGTCATTCGGAAGTGAAGGCTATCTAATAATGAGGCAATTTTATAAATCAGCTGCGTTGCACGTTCCCATGAAACCACCAGAAAATTGTGTATAGGATGCCACATATAAAGAAAAAAAATTAGATAATGAAACCTTTTTTTGCTGTGACACTTGCTGATAAATCATAGAGCTACATTAACTTCCCATTAATTTAATATAGCTCCATGGGATGAACACAAGACTATATAACCGAATCCGCATTTTGCTATTTAACGCAATCATTGAAAGAAAATTTCGCTCGGACGATCGAAAGTTCACTCACTCAATCACTCACTCCCAATGATCTCCTGTGTATATGGAGATCAATGGTGTGATGCAGCATTCAAGCGCGCGTTCCGCGCCGTATCGATCCAATGACAGCCTCGACTCCAGCAGAGCTGCAGGGGCGCGTGCACGTTCCTCACACTCGCGCAAGGCATGATGGGAAACAACACGGCGCAGCAGGATCGTATCCACGGGGCACGAGGTTGATCCAATGAGTAGACCATTGATCTCCATATATACGACCTTTCTTTTGTTTGTAAACATTGGCGCCATTTTGTATGGGCTGCCGTAAGCGCATAAATTATTGAAGCCGTGGTTGGCAACTTATTTTTCAACACATGGTAAAAAGGCATGTGTAGGAATTATTTTGTAGCTTTGTTGAAAATGTTGTATTTTCAAGTATCACATAATATTTTGGTGATCTGTAATAACTCTTTTTCATTTTTGCAGTGTTGGACCTTCCATAGTTTTGCAGGCCGTGGTTGGCAAAAATGCAGTTTGCCAACCAAGCGCAAAAAGGTCTGTACCTATGGCGTGTCAAACGTTGCAATATTCAATATTTT